GAGGGCTGGCTGGGGCGGGCCCCAGGGTCCAGGCCCGACCCCCTCCAGGGCGCAGCAGGGCTCCTCGCCCGCACCTGCCGGGGTCGGGGGGGCAAGCAGGAGAGCCCGCACCTCCACACTCCATGCTTGCCCCCCGGGGAGCTCCAGCAGGCAGCCAGGCCCTGGCACCCCAGGCCGGCCCTGACGCCCCACGAGGAAATCCTGTGTTCACAGCCCTGGGAACGGGGGGCCCCGGGGAGCAGACCCTCAGTATGCTGGGCCCCATGCAGACACCCCGGAGCACCCCATCAGGGGCCCCACGGGAGGCAGCGCCCCGACAGTCCAGGGGCTCAGCACTGAGGCGCCTTATCCCGGGGACACCGGCAACTTCGGCCATGCTGAGGTGCCCTGTCAGCCCAGACTGGGAGCTGCTTTGAGGCCGCGCCCCGAAGTCAGCGGGGCCCAGACCACCCACCAGCTCCTGGGCCGCCAGGCCGGGGCCAGGGCGGGTCACGGTCTCTAGGAGCAGCGGTCAGGCCAGGCCCAGCACCGTCACACCGGCCCCCCCTTGCCGGCAGACCCAGGACCCCGGAACATGCCTGACACCTGGGGTGTCCCAGGAGCGTGAGGCCCCGCGGCCGTCCGGCTGCCTGGCCTCAGCACGGCCCTGCTGGACAGCTCCCCGGTTGGGGAGCCGGAGGCAGGTGGCCCGACGGTCCTGCAGCCTCGGGCACTGCCACCGGCCTGGCCCCGGCCAGCTGCGGGTGCACAGGCCCCGGGCTTGCTCCCCTTGAGACCGGGAGGGCGGGCTGGGCCTCCCGCAGAGGCGGGGCCCGGGGCCCCCAGCACAGCTGCCGCACCCTAGCCCAGCTAGGCCCCGGATGTGGCTGGTGGCCACTGCTCTGTCCCTAGAGAGACTGGCCCTGCACCGCGCCCGCCCGAGAGGCCCGGGCCTCGGCCGGCCTGAGGGCAAAGGGCCACCTTGGTCAAGCGGGCGCGGCCAGGCACAGGGCCAGCCGGGCCCCCAGGGCCACAGGCCAGCGCCAGCTCGCCAGGGCCTTGCTGAGGAGGCCAGTGAGTGGCGGGCACACTGCCCCAGCGGGCAGGGCTCAGCTCGGCCACCCCACTTCTCCCGGGGGGGACGGTGCCCACCAGGCCCCAGCACCCGGCGGGGCGGCCTTGACACGGCACCAGGCTGGGGCCGAGGGCCGTGCTGGGGGTCGGAGGGCGCGGCCCCACCGCACAGGCCGCCCACAGTGGGGTCCCGCCACATTACCCCAAACTCGGCCCGTTGCTGGTCTGACAGCCAGGGCGGGGCAGGGCAGGCCCCGGGGGCGCGGTGAGACCGGACGACAGGTCCCAGGCCTGGGGGGGGCGCCCCTGCACGCTCAAGCCCAGGCACAGGCCTCAGGGCCAGGGGGCAGGGCAGGGCCAGCCTCCTCTCTGCCGCATTGCAGACTCAGGGTCAGGGGGACCTAGTGTCCACCCCTGCCGTCCCAGGGCCGTCCGGGCCCTCCCGGGCAGCCCCTGGACAAAGGGGGTTACCAGGCAGATGGGCAGGCAGGGTGGGCAGAGGTCGGCCAGGGGCTGGGGGTCAGCGGCAAGGCTGGGACGGCCCCGCGGAGTTCACACTGCCCCCCAGGCCAGACGGCCGACAAGACCCCACGGCAGGACAAGCCAATACCCTCGCCAGGTGGGACCCCGCCGGGGGCACCCAGCGGGCCCCCAGGAGCAGGGGCTGCT